TGGTTATATTCGCTGCGACAGTAAAAATGTGGCTAATATAACGTCCTGCCAGCCTTAATTACAGCTATTTGGCAATAAATGTTATTTTGCTGGACTTTTGACTGCAAAAGCGCTGTGACAGCTAATAAAAAGTCAAAAACGCAGCCACAGCTATTTTAGCTGTATTAATAGCTGTAAAGTTGCCGTAATAGCGATCAGAAAAATTAAAATTAGCTGCAGCGATTTTAGCTGCATTAATGGATATGAAGTCGCTGTGATTTGTATGTCACAGCGAAAGTCAAGAATAACGTGACTATCAGTTTTATATTAAATTTAGCATATATCAGCGATGGTCAGCGACCCATGCGTTCATTTATGCGGCTCTAAAATTATTATTTAAGGATGTGTGTAGTTCTGTAATCACTGTACTTATATAAATTTGCGTCCGCTCTAGTATACTTTATATGTTATAAATTGTAATAATTTGCAACGATTATATAATCTTTAAATTTGATTTAAGTTTAGTAAGGCAAAGGTTCCGGGTTGTCAAAGGTTCAATACCAGTTGAAGCCAAAAATTTTTTTTAATACTCTTTTCAATCTTTTTACATAATTTTAAAATTAAAATTTAACTTTCATTGAATATAAATTTACATATGAAAAACATTATCCGTTTATTAGTTTGTTTATCTTTATTACTATCATTGCCGTAATGTGGCTATGACAACATCTTTACGGCAAAATAGTTGTGCAGCCAAATGGCTATGACAACGTCTTTACAGCAAAATAGTTATGCAGCCAAATGGCTGTGACATCGTTTTCAAAGCCTAAAAATGTTGTCCCACTTTTGCTGTCACAACTTTATCAGAACGTCACAATGACGTTGTGGCAGTAGCTGTGGTAGACAAAAATGCTGCAGTTTAAGCTGCGACAACGTTATCGCAGACGTTTTAAAGCTTCATGTGCTACTTGGGCGATATTGCTCTTTTTCCATGGTTGCAAACAAACACAAACTTGCCCACTTTCAACAGCTATCAAAACAAAACTACTCGATAAATCTGTCTGAAATTTTGACAGGCGTCGTTCGAAAGATGGCGTTAAACGATGGTATACAGATTTTGAGTCAGTGGCGCTATCAGTCGTTAAACACGGGTACTTATCATACAGCCCTCGTATATGTACATACGTAGATCTTATATCTATGGGTATCTCTCTTATCTATCTCATCTATGGATATGTATGATTATGCATAAAAAATCGAAGTACAGATCGCAATATAAAAATTTTCTTTCGAAAAAGATGTTAAATAAGTGTTTTCAAATTATTGAGAAAAATAAGATAAAAGTTGTGCAAATTAGAAATTTGCACATTGTTTCTTCATCATTTTATTTCGCTCACAAAGCTTAAGTTCCATAAAGCAAGCGAGTTTTTCAATTTTAGCTTTCTCATAGAGGAAGATATCTTAAAATTTGCGAAAATTACAGCGTATACAGACATTTCTAAAAAAATTCAGAATTTTATAAAAAATGAACACTTTCACCGACCCTCACCAAATTCAATATCAATCATCCTTTAATGATACTCTATTCATTTTAAAGAATTTAGCTCGATATCTCAAAAATTGCGAAAGTTAGAGGTTGCACAATGTACATTCCGTACATACGTATACAGGGTGAGGCATCTAAGACAGGCCACCCGCATAACTCCCACAGTTTTGGAGATAGGAGAAAATGATTGAAATAAAAGTTGTATGATATCGAGGAGGAAATCTTGTGGAAGTAAACATTTTTTTTAGGTGGAAGCGCTTTAGAGATTTGAAGATCATCTTTATTTTTTTTAAATGGAACCCTCTATTTCTCATTACATATTCTTGTAGCTTACCTCGAGAGCTTTCCAAAACACTATAATAAAGTATTTTTTCATTAACTACTTTTTGAGTTATTTTATATTTTAATCTGACATATCGTACATGCATACGTACATGCATACGTACATGCATACGTACATGCATACGTACATGCATACGTACATGCATACGTACATGCATACGTACATGCATACGTACATGCATACGTACATGCATACGTACATGCATACGTACATGCATACATGCATACATACATATAGATATTTTTAAAAATATGATTTTTCGACGTTTTAGAACATTTTAAAAACATTGGTATAGAAAAATGGAAAAAAAATTTTGTCATGAAAATAAAACTTCTATGAGGAAGCAAAATGATACAGCTTCGTTAAATGTAGCGCGCTCAAACTATGTGTGTATGTGTGTGTGTGTGACTGTCATGCATAAATTATATTTTATTTAAATCTCACCAATTAATACCAACGACTAGCAATAATAAATAATAAATAAGATTTTATTTTATGATTTTAATAAATTGCATAACCTCACGATCTGTCTCATGCCACAAATATTTGTCTTTGTGTACCCGATTATAATTTAAATAAAGAAAAAAATTTTATGCGCAATTAGCTCAAACTAACCACGTTGATATCAAACGAACGGGAATAAAGAAATCAGTCCTTCACCTTAATATACTATATCATAGAAATGAAAGAGTGCTGTGTCGAGCTGTAGTATCTAGTAGTAAAGTGGGGATAAAGTAGGCACCCAGACAGCACAAAACGTCCTCAGGATCATCCTGAATATGTCCAGGATGGTTCAGGATATTTGTAGGATGTTTTAAGATATTATTATAAATATATTTTATGAAAATTTAATATGCATACATGATTACTTTCGGTTATGTAGGCTATTTAATATAATTTAGAAATTTTAAGTATTGTAATAAGTATTAATGTCCTATAAATGTCCCCTGGATAACCCCTGGATGTCTGTAGGATATCTGCCCTGTCTATTATATTGGATGTCCTTTGGATTTCCAGAGGATATATACATGTGCAATTAATTGTTAACATTAATTTCGTTTAATATTAATAATTGAATTTGTTGCGCACATTTTCATATATTCAAAATTATTATTTATTTAATATTTCATGAGAAATGTTACTATGCGCAACATTCCAAAAACTTTACAAAAAATAGTATTCAACCGCTAGTTCGTTTGTTTACCGCTATGCGACGCGCGAACTCGTATTTGAGATTTGGTCATGAGAATTATATAAAGCTTGCAAAGAGCAACTAACAGGAAATTAAAAATATAATTATTTTTTATCAGTTCAATTTCTGATGCAATCTTAACATAGGGAATTCAGATATTGGATTGTTTTGAAATTATTACACGACTCAAACCCGGAAGCCAAACCTAAAATATTCATGTACAGCACGAAAACGTCAAATTTTAAAGAACGTGAACTATTTTTAGTATTAGATTTTTAGTATTGGCAGTAAATAACAGATCGCAATCTTAATTTATATTTAAGTTTTAGAATTTGTTCCTTTTAACGTATGAAAAATATCCCTAACATATCCTATAGAAATCCTTAAGATGTTCCACAGGATCTCCCTGGATTCTCCAGAGGCTAGTGTACGGCTATCATTTACTCTTCCTCAGGACATCCAGAGGAGATCCGAGGATTAAAATAGGATATCCTCAGGATATCCTACATGTATGTCCTGGATGCCCTTTGGACGTCCTAAGGACATCCTTGTGCTGTCTGGGCAATATGACAGACACAACAAATAAAAAAGTTTGCAAAGATAATCAATCATACATTTGACACTCGTTCTGTATAAAGTTTGAAATTAAAGAATGTGCTTTAAGAATGAAAACTTGTCGCGTACTATTACAAATTTGGGGTGGAGTTCCGAAAAGGTCCCGTCTCCGATTTTGATGAAACTTTGTGAAAAGCTTCCTTTCAGGTTGAAATGAAAGATCCTAAAAGGAATTTTCTCATATCTGTCCTCCCATCTAAGCATGTACTTTGCAGTACATATACGATTCCACATAGGTTTGCAACTTTCCACGCAAAGCGAGGTTCCACGCAAACCTATTTGTCTAGTTTTGTGGTAGTGGAGCCCCCCGCAGGGGGGCGAAACCCACTGTTTCCACGCATACACTTTTCCACGCGAAGCGAGGTTCCACATGGGTTTGCAACTTTCCACGCAAAGCGAGGTTCCACACAAACCTATTTGTTTAGATTTTTGGTAGTGGAGCCTCTCGCAGGTGGGCGGAACCCACTGTTTCTACGCATACACTTTTCCACGCGAAGCGAGGTTCCATTGGGTTTGCAACTTGCCATGCAAAGCGAGGTTATGTATTGGGACTTCTACGCAATACTGTCAGCCTTTATAGTTTCACCTATACAGCAATTGATTTGAGATATATGTTTAACTTTGATTTTCTCGAAAACTATCACTTGTACGGTAAAAATGAATAGGACATAAAATGTTTATCACTGTGAGATCTAAAACTTTTGTCGAAAACATTTATCATGATTTTCCGTATTTACTGAGATAAGCGTAAAAAACTATAATTTTTATGGGTTTTTCATGGTTTTCACCATGAAAATCAAATAGCCGCTAATTTTCACTATGATATTCGTAATCAGCGCATCAAAATACGTAAGAATATTGAGTTTCAAAAAAATCAGAGACGGGACCTTTTCGGAACTTTATCCCAAATATGAATTAATACGACCTAATAAAATGAATAATACCGTTCACTAGCAATACCACACAACCATAAATGTATCAAACTGACGTCAGTCTATATCACGTGATGTTTTCGTTTGTGTACACTGTACACTAGCGGACCGGTCACTATTTTCGATAAATTATCTATTGATGAGTTACATTTTTTTCGTCCACAAGTGAACGAAGTCCGCGGAGAGATCTGATCATGAAATACGAAAATTGAAGACATTCTCTCTCGAAGAACGGAGTATACGTACATTAGGAAGTGACTGATTGAGTGACCTCTTTCACAAAAAGGATGCAAAGATAAAATTATCTTTCAAAATATTATTATTCTTACGATAGTTGAAATATTTCACTTAACGCAACAAACAATATCCAAATAAACGACGAATATGACGTACTTAAATACGATGGTAACGTAATTGGTAATTGCAACAGCTGACACATCCGTAGCTATTCCAGCTGACCAATTTGCAATGATGTGAGTGGAAAGAATACTGGCCGCTGTGGTCCAAGTTAGATCAACTTATAAGTGCCACCGCAAGGAGATGCGTGAACGAGGATATGAGTCACGATGAATTGCGAAAACTATATCATTAATAAAATAAGAATTTTATACTTTATATAAATTTGGCATTCATTAAATGCTAGACGGTTACTTTATTTTAGTATTTAATAATATGTGTAATATATAGTTTAAGTTTAATTACTAATAATAAGATAAATAAGAATTAAAGACAAATAATTTAAGTATTTCTTGTTAGTGGCGACTGAGTCAGAACATAAATACATTTGACGATGTGAAATTTGTGGCAGTCAGTGTGGTTGCGAAACTGTACGAACAACAGCAACAGCCAAACCTAAGTAAAAACCATAGAATTATTTCAGCACAATGTTTACTGGCATTGTATATTATTTCTTGATGATATTCTGAACATTGTCTAAATTATTTATATTCATACTTTATCATAGTGTTTTGAAAAGTTCTCGAGCTAAGCTACAAGAATATGTAATGGAAAAAGGGGGTTTCTATTTAAGAAATTAAAGGTGACCTTCACGTGACCTTCAAACGACTATCCAAGGTCAAACCAATGGCACCTTCTTATATCCTCCTCTGAGTCGAATAACTTTTGTCTGAAACATTTTTTTGGAAATGCATGGTTTTTGAGATATTACGGTGTGACAGTTAAAATGGGATACTGTGTATATATGACTGTTGTTTTTTAGCAAACATTTATTTTGTATTTTTCTAAAATATCAATAAGTCTTAGTTTATACTTTGAAGAGTGTCTAATGTTTATGCAAAAAATTATTTGTGAAATTAGTAAATAAAGAATTTTGTTAAATTATGCATTTTTTACACTATAATTAATAAAATATTATTTATATATGTATCAATAATGTCTTGTGAACTTTATTTAAAAAATATGT